CAGGAAATAAACCCCAAAACCCCAAAACCCCAAAACCCCATTACTACTTATACATCAAAATTAAGGAGTAACAATAATATATTAACTTAATTGATTCATATATCACTCTGTGACGAGTAAGGATTTTAAGCTATAGTCGATGTATCTGTTGTGGTTTATTTCCTGCCAAATGAAGACAGAGTCGCCTTGATAAGATTGCTTAATGTTTTATTTCCCAATTTCATTTCCTGGTTTTTCTTAGTACCGCTTTGATTAGGATTATTATTGTTCTTTTTTATTCTTTGAGTCTGAATCATTGTCTAAATACTTTCAAATCTCTCTTCTAAAGCTTATGATTTAATATTGACTGGGTAATGCTGTTTCTTCTTTTTCACACTGCTGGTATAGTCACCTGATAGATTGATTCTAGCTTGAGGAGTAGCCTAAGAAGGATCTATCATTGGATTCTAAAAAGAGTATCTTAAATGACTATTGCTTTTATCAAAGGTTTTGTCCATTTGATCTTTGGTTATGAACTAATTAATGTGACTTTAGTATCCATACCCAACACTCTCGTTACTCTAAGTGTTCTTTATATTTTACTCGATATCACTATCATTTACAGGTGAAGTATGTCTAGTATGCTAGTGTGAATAGAACTACTATGATTGCGGGTAGTAGTTGTATTTAGGATTATTGGCCGAGTAATAGTTTAAGGAACTTTTGTTTGGGTTTACCATACTGTTATTAAAACTCATCTAGTTTCCTTTTTCTTTATTGTTAATGTAATGTTGTCTGTTAGATGTTGGATTTGAATAGACTTCTCTGTTAGGTTTACTTTTCTTATTTGAAACTGGAGCTGATTAATAATTAGTGCTTATATTTACACTCTCATGTGGACATCTGATTTCCTATAATTAATATTTAACCAGATTATTTACATTGACTTTTGGTTCCTAAAGTTATTGGTTTAAAAGATACTGCTGAAATGCTTGTATAATTTGATCTTTTTCAACTTTTTCATTGCAATACATCTCAGAAAAGTGTGAAAGTTTAATCTCAGCCTCTTTTAACTATATCTTTGCTTCATTCAAATCTCTAATCAAACACATTTTATCCTATTAAATTGTTAATTTAACATCAGAATATTCTTATAAGTTTTACTATAAATATTTTCAGATCACTACTTACATTTGCTAAGTGACTTATATGTCTTTGCATTTCTGATAAGGTAGCTTGGTTTTTGCTTTTATTCTGCTTTAGTTTTTGATTTAGTTTTTCAACTTCATCAACGAGTCTTGGCTTATCCATACTTAAATAAATACTAAAACTCTATCTTTGGTTATTTTTTTTCCTTTAACCTTGAATTACTGGCCTATTTTCTGTGTTTTGAAAATAATCTATTGCCTGATTAACCTGCTTTATAAATTTAGTATCTGTTGTTAAACTATTTCTATTTTCCAAATCTCCAAAGCATGCATCATCTACTGTGAGTGAGGTATTGTATAAATTAGCAGCAGCTTTAACTCTTGGTTAAGAAAAATACTAACTATCCACTGTTTTAATAATGTTAAGTGAATCAAGTAGCCATTGATCTTCGTCAGTATGGCCTCTTCTACCGTTTCTCGGGTTAACCTAATCTAGCTATATATTTCTCATTGGTTAGAGAAGTTGATTAGTTTGCTGTAGATCTAATGTATTAATTTAGAAGCAACTTTGATTTATTTCGTTTAGAGAGAAGCTGACATCACAGCTTTCTAGTTTCTTACTTTTATCCGATGATAAAATCGAAAGCTCCTCCTGTTGTATTTTCTCTGGCTCGAAATTTTAAATTTGTATTTTTTATGGCTACTCATTCTCACCTAACTTCGATTTTACTTTTTTTCACTGGTTGTGATATGCTATTAAAGGAGATTTTCTATTTGAAAGTGAGCTTGTTAAATCCTGGGTTCTTTGAAATTGATCTTCATTCTTAGATGAACCTGAATAATTACTTGAAGTAATGCTTACTTAATTCAAGATTGTGATTAGCCTACTTTCGTTAAACCAAACCTAATAAATCTTGACTCTAATTTTTCATTTTACAAATAATTTTTAATATTTTAACATTTAAGACAGAGTGTCAACCTTTTGGGGTTTTGGGGTTTTGGGGTTTTGGGG